AATTCACTTTTCGAAGATGGTTCTGTTGCAGATCCTTTAGTGGCGATAACATGGGCTGCTGCAGATACATTGGTGGCCGGAGACCGTTTGCTCTTCGTAGAACCTCCCTCTTCAGCCTCACTATCGGAAAATACATCGTCCTTGTTTCGAGTTTCCATGTTTGTGTTAGGAGGAAGTGACGTGTTGCTTTCTTCGGCGTGGGTGTTTATGGTCGTCGAGGCCCCATCAGTTTCATTGTTGGGAGCTGGTTGAGAAGGTCTAGGGGATACAGAACCATTATAGTCTGCAAGAACAATCTCAACTTGGAATCCTGGAGATGGTAGTTTTCTCTACAAGATGATGTCAATATCATAAGCATTTAGAGAAAGCTAGGCATGGAAACAGAAATATCAAGCTGGAAAAATTGAGGCAGGAGCTGACTTGAGAGATGTTTCCATCACCAAAAAGGGAAAGAGGAAAAAATGTAGGTAGATTACTAAAACATTGAAACTGAAATCACCCAAAACTCAGCTTGAAAGGCTACTAAAAAATTGAAACTGAAATCACTCAAAACCTGCCTGAAATCTAACTTGACCCAAAATTGAAACTTAATTTTGAGCTCCAGCATAGAATATAATCCATACAGTTTTATGTAAATAAATAAAAAAATCAATTTCAAGCCCACTTAAAATCAGGTGCGTTCGAGTTAGATTTGAATCATTTGGAGTTAAGCTCATTTCAAATCAATTTTTATCTTGAGTCAAGTTAGGGTCAATATGAAATTAATATTTTAATTTTGAGTTGCGCCAAACTAGCTCAAACGGAATTGGTATCATCCCTAAATGTAAGATTTGCAGATCAATTGTAAAGGCAGGCAATCAGAAGTGTGGTTTGTTAAATAGAATAAAGAGACTGAGTAATACTACAATTAATTAATAAGAACAGCTATTACCTTATCAAAGCCATCAAGATCAGAGGTATTCAGGACCTTCCTGTTTTCTGTCATTGTAGTGTTCAACCAACTGAAGAAGGAAACAAGATGATCATCAGGAAAATATATCAATTATGACTTATTCGGATTCAGCACTATGCAGTTCACATAACAAGTGGCAAATATGAAATCATACTTCACTAATTTGAACTACAAGAAATCTTATTATTAATGGGGATTAATGTAACTCTGGATTGTCAGTTCCAATTGTTCTGCAAACACATGTCATTGATGCAATCTGCTAATGCACTAGAGAATATCGAGAACTGTCCCAATTAAGTGGGGTTGGGCGTATCCAATTACTCATTCAAGCCATGCATTTCTCTTGGAAAAGCTAGAACCAGGTAACATCAAAACGAATTTACTATTCAGAAAAATCCAGATTTTAATTCAAAGCATTCCAAAGTGTTGCAAGGTTTTTATTATAATGTAAAATTATGATTGGCGCATATATTTATGTGCACTTAAATACAAATATTTTCTTATGCATTTGCTAATAATACAATGGTCTTGTTGGCCTTGCAGTTCCATATCTAAATAAAATGTGAATGCCAAAGGAAATTAGTGTTTTCTTCACATTTATT